TTGAGATGTTTGTTGAAGTGAACCTGCTGTGTAGATTTCATGCTTGAGGTGGATGTATACCACCCTGAGAACCTCACTAGTAAATACAAATTTGACATATGCCTGCAACCCCTCCATCATTTTAGCATCTGCTCACATGTCAGGAAGGAACCGACTCCATTGTATATTGTAAACATGGTATAAACAAGATATAGATGGCTGGTCATGTCTGCTCTCCCTTAACTTACATGTTGATGTGTCAAAAACACATGCTTTTGTTCTGAAATTGTGTAAAACGTAGCTGTGTCTGACAAGCATTACTGTAATTCTACAATGTAATGCACCTGTAGTTGTTGTACGTTTGGTTGGGATTCAAAATTCCGATATATATAAATATTGTGAAAAAAAGAGTGTCAAATATGCACTGTAAATGCACACCTACATAGTACACACCTTTAATAGGCAAAGTGGATGTGATTAATATGATGTTCTGGTAAATGGTCATCAACGTGCTGTTGCTTCAGAACAGGTGGGATTATAAGATCAATTACAGTATTCATGAACTCAGATGATAATTGACCTTTCACTGTGATGAATTGCCCAATGTTTCAGGTGTTTTTCCCAGGTGTACACCTATGTATATATAACATATACCTTTAGGTGTACATTGAACAGATGCAAGCCGGATCTTACCTGTCAATTGTAAGACAATACTCTTATAAAGATTTTGATATTTAACTCATTGTTGAATGCTATGGTTTTGTTATTGGGTCACTTATGATACACAAAGAAAAAACAAAAGTTTTGAAATAGAATGCAGGGTGTCAGCAGAGCTGACAGGAAGTACTTAGACTCATGATCACCTGTCTAGCTGACAACCCACAATCACTTGTATGGCAGTATCATATTTAAAGATTTAAATTTCTCTAATTCATTTTGTCAATAACAAGGCCTCCAAGGCCATGATATACACTTCACTACTTTTAACACTTATTATACTTTTAGAGTGAGGTTTGTGTATTTTTTTTATCAAAGAATTGACTTCCAATTCTTAGTGTAAACAATAGTGAAAAGAAGGAATGTGTTTGTGTGTTTATATTCTGACTACAAATCTTGACCAAAAAACAAATGAGGCATATGATACAAAACCAAACTATGGCATTTCTATAAACGCTTTGTTCAGATTGTAAAATTGGTCTGATTTACTGATTGTGTGAGGAAATGTTAGACAGGATGTTTATAATGTGAATGTGATAAAAATATCTCTATACTGGTACTAAGAGTTGAAATGCCATATTAAAAAGGAAATTACTGTTATCATTTGTAAAGATGTATTGTAATACTTTAGATATGAAATAGCTTTGCATTATACAAAATGTTTCAAAGACAAAGTATTTACATGTTACAGTTAAGAACATGACAAGTGTAAGTATACATGTACACATGCAGTTATATTAGGTATGTTGCACAGACATTAATCAATTGCTTGGATGATTGTCAATGTGGTTGACTTTGGAAGGACATATGAGGTGGTCTATTATATAACAAAGCAGTATTGGAGAAGAATCTCCTTGTCCACAGACTATTGATCATGAGCTGAGGACTACATACATGTAATAGTTAAATGATATAGTTGTGTGTTCCAATGTATTTGTGTGGTGCAATTAAGTTTGTTCCATGATTGTGATTCTTCGGGGTTGTTAAAAAAGTGTTTCTCATCTTAGACTTTCTGTAAACACTTCTTACTCAAGCCTTGTTACATCTAGTCATCATTGTTACAGACTGAAAGGTTGGGCTTTCCTTGGAAATTTGGTATTATTTTTGGAGGAGAAAGACCAAGGAGATATTATTTGGATGTATTCAGATAAGACAGCATGTCAGACTATTTTGGGTTACACGGAAACCTTCATAATCTGGTCGGACATATTGATCAGTCAGAAAGCTTATATCCAGTGGGTTTTTTTGTTTTTTGTTTTGTTTTTGTAAGAAACTTTGGGCTACATTATTATGAGACTCACAATGTCAGACATTAGTGAGAGAACAGAGGCAGATAAGACAGGTCTCACTGTGGCAGGAATATTTTCCCTTGGAGTTACATAGCTTTAAGGATCATTTTTGAGGCTGGTCTTCAGATCTATACAAACAATATCCTTGATGAAAGCAAACTGTGAAAGTTTGACATCATTTAGGGTAAGAGGTGAGATAGTGCACCAGGCCATTAATGAGCTTGAAATGAACTGATCCCTTTACAGCTCTACTTGTATTTAGATCTTTCAATGTGCATGTACTTGTAACAGTAGGTACGTGCTTTCTGATATGTTTCTAAAAGTTGTCGACATTGTTGTGTTATTCCAGTTACGAATTGAAGAAATGTCACTAGTCAAGAGGTACATGTATATAGCTGTTTCATATCAAACAAAATATGGGTTTACAATTTCAAGTTCATATGCAAACACATCATGTCAACACTCTGTGATACTCTTGGAGTCATGAATGTGATCATTATTTGACCTTTGGACCACTGGTTTGTTGGTCAGATATGTATACTGTACCAAATGGAAGAAATTTGAATGGTCAAAGTATCAGGTTGTCATATTTCTGACTGACATTTATGCTTGATTTTATAATCACTGATAAATGATTGCTTCATTTTTTTGGGTCAGTTGTGTGTTTGAGCTCTACACTAAGCGATGTAATTATGCCTGTCTGAGAAAATCAACAAAATAAACCCATACAACTTTTTTCTTTGCGTACATCAACATGGATTCAAGCACTCTAACATTGATTTCTGGGAACGGTTGTGTTTTCCCACTCTGAACAGGGCACATTATCAGTTGATTCGCTGTTGATGTATGGTAACAATGTAATTTATGGCAAGTGGAGACCAATTCCTATTGATTTAGGTGATTGTAATTACAGATTAATGCGTTTCAGACCATTCACTTCAAATTTTATGGTTAATTTGTTTGTGTTATAAAATAATCCCAATTATCCAGTAAATTGTTTTCTTTGATTCTGTTTATTCTAGATCTCTGTCCCTCCAGCCTCAGTACCAGAATATGTGTATATTCTGGAAAGTCTGGTTAAACATGAATTTCAGGGTATAGGCATTTTATTTTGTTTAAAACAACATTACTGGTATCTTTCATTTATTCAAAGATCCTGTGATGCATCATAGATTTGTTGGTTTCAATCAAGAACATTACAGAAGAGTAATAAATACCTTACAGATTGAGTTTCCAATGTTTTGGAGCAGCAATAAGCTTGTGATAACATATCTCTGTACATGGATTAAATTTACCACACATGGCTGACAGTGAACATCCTCGTTTTACAGTTTCTTTTAATACAGCACATAATAGCAGGGTCAGCTGTTCCCCCTCCTGGCATGGCTTAGGTACTTGTACACCTTATGTTTGTGTATGTATACATTACTAAGGCTCTTGGCTTTGCCTGCATTAAATCAGTAACATTTTGATTTTGCCTACAAGTTAAATAACCAGACTTCCCTTCCTACTCCATAGAACATGTTAAATAGCATATACAGAGGGCCTGTCTGCACAGCCAGTAGACCTTAAGTACTACTTGAGTGTGATATGATGTCAGGTTAGAAAAGTAATCACCTCCACCTGTACATTACCAGACAAACATGTGCACATTGGCACCTTCTGTACCTCCTTGTACACATAGGGGATCATTACACATGATTTCTCTCTTTGATCAGGTTTTGTCCAGTCGGGACCCATTTGCAAATAGAGCTTGTAAAATATGTGATAAATCTTCAGCTGTAGGCTATACATAACTTAAATTGGGGGAATTGAAATTCATCTTAAAAAGGTTGGGGATTCTGATTTTCCATGTTAGTTATACATACTCCTGTAGTATGTAAACAGACACAGCACATGTCCAGTTTTCAAGCTAACATTGCTGTGTACTGATATCGAAAGATAACATCACATAGGTAGCTGATTGACATAGTTGTGGGAAGCAGTATTGATAAAAACTTGCACCAGGAAATGTTTTAATGTGGCACTTTAATTTTACAAACATGTTTTGATAGGTAAGGTTCGTTTTTAGATAAAATTGAATTTTCTTTGCACATACTAAGGCTAAAACTAAATGTGGTCATTTCTGGATGTCAGCATTTGAGTTGCATATAAGTGTCCAAAGCCCCCAACCAGTGAAAGTGAAAGAGCATGGTATCCTGAAGGGTGGCCCATGGACAGCATAAACTATAAGTACAATGATCCTGAAGACTTCCTTGAGGACTGGAGTGATTAGTGCTAATGTAGCACCACTATAACAACAAGTGGTGACATTTAAGTATGTTGAGGATGCCAGGTTGAACCCTATAAGCTCTATTTGATGCTTATCAGGGACAAGGGCTAGGGTATTGTGATAGTTAATTGATAAAGACATTTCAGTTGCACAAGTCTTAAGAACTTTTTTTTTTTGGCTATGGGATTAAGTGTTACAGCCATGTTTCAAACTTAAGCAGCAACAGGCATGGTCAGCACTTGGATGATTGAATGCATGGCCTAGCACCCCAATGAATGGTATATAATTGACTTCCAAGCTAAATTTCAACTGACAGTTGGCAAATATTGCATGAAATCCAAATTTGATTTACAACATGTTTAAACTGGTGACAAGATGAAACTTTCCCCATGATCTCTTGCATATACTACTGTTAATTCATTTATGATATCAAACGAAACATTGCATTAGTTTTAACAGTACTGTAGAGCATATATACTGGATCTTAGTTAATATCAACAATTACTTTGAACATGAAGATAAAGGATAACTTTATATAACATCAACAAAGCCATGAAATGATACATGCATATAGATGTATTAATGAAATCCTTTATATTCCCTTAACTGAATGCTTTTAGAATTCACATGTTGTATACAAATTTCATTGTTGTAGAATGACATATTGAAAATGTCGTAATTGTATTTGCTTTTGCTTTTGTTGTGTTTCTGATGAAAAAAACTGACCTTAACATCATTGACAGACTTACACAGGGTCCATTCTTGTGGCAGTAAATCCTTACAAAGAATTACCAATATATGAACAGGTAAGTTGTTATCCTTATGACTTTCTTTTTACTGCAGATTTGATGGTTTTTGTCTAGCTAGGTACAAATAAGGAAATCTATAAATACATGTCTTCTCTTTTAGTATAATCTTTATTTCATTCCATTACTTGAAAAACAGACAAAGTACAAAGGCATTGGATCTGGAAACAAGTTAAGGTTAACCTTTTTAAGTACATTTTGACCAATTGAAAATCAGAAACAGATACACTATTCATGTTCTATATCAATTATGTATCATCTCAATTATGTCACAGTAATCTGTTTCCAGTTAGGTTTGCAGAACTCTAGTTACAAAAACTATTAACACAAGACAAACTTATTGGTAGGTGTGTCACTTCTGTAAGGTTTGTAGAGCTGTAATCAGCGTGGTAGGTGTGTTACTTCAGTTAGGTTTGTAGATCTGTAGTCAGTGTGGTCGGTGTGTCACTTCAGTTAGGTTTGTAGATTTGTAGTCAGTTAGGTAAAACAAGACAAGCTCAATGGTCTGACATTTTATTTAGGTTTGCAGATCTGTAGTCAGTAAGGTAACACAAGACAAACTTATTGGTGTGTCACTTCAGTAAGGTTTGTAGATCTGTAGTCAGTGTGGTAGGTGTCACTTCAGTAAGGTTTGTAGATCTGTAGTCAGTGTGGTAGGTGTGTCACTTCAGTAAGGTTTGTAGATCTATAGTCAGTGTGGTAGGTATGTCACTTTAGTAAGGTTTGCAGATCTGTAGTCAGTAAGGTAACACAAGACAAACTTATTGGTGTGTCACTTCTGTAAGGTTTGTAGATCTGTAGTCAGTGTGGTAGGTGTCACTTCAGTAAGGTTTGTAGATCTGTAGTCAGTGTGGTAGGTGTCACTTCAGTAAGGTTTGTAGATCTGTAGTCAGTGTGGTAGGTGTGTCACTTCTGTAAGGTTTGTAGATCTGTAGTCAGTGTGGTAGGTGTGTCACTTCTGTAAGGTTTGTAGATCTGTAGTCAGTGTGGTAGGTGTGTCACTTCAGTAAGGTTTGTAGATCTGTAGTCAGTGTGGTAGGTGTTTCACTTCTGTAAGGTTTGTAGATCTGTAGTCAGTGTGGTAAGTGTCACTTCAGTAAGGTTTGTAGATCTGTAGTCAGTGTGGTAGGTGTGTCACTTCTGTAAGGTTTGTAGATCTGTAGTCAGTGTGGTAGGTGTGTCACTTCTGTAAGGTTTGTAGATCTGTAGTCAGTGTGGTAGGTGTGTCACTTCAGTAAGGTTTGTAGATCTGTAGTCAGTGTGGTAGGTGTTTCACTTCTGTAAGGTTTGTAGATCTGTAGTCAGTGTGGTAAGTGTCACTTCAGTAAGGTTTGTAGATCTGTAGTCAGTGTGGTAGGTGTGTCACTTCTGTAAGGTTTGTAGATCTGTAGTCAGTGTGGTAGGTGTGTCACTTCTGTAAGGTTTGTAGATCTGTAGTCAGTGTGGTAGGTGTGTCACTTCTGTAAGGTTTGTAGATCTGTAGTAAGTGTGGTAGGTGTGTCACTTCAGTTAGGTTTGTAGATTTGTAGTCAGTGTGGTAAGTGTCACTTCAGTAAGGTTTGTAGATCTGTAGTCAGTGTGGTAGGTGTGTCACTTCTGTAAGGTTTGTAGATCTGTAGTCAGTGTGGTAGGTGTGTCACTTCTGTAAGGTTTGTAGATCTGTAGTAAGTGTGGTAGGTGTGTCACTTCAGTTAGGTTTGTAGATTTGTAGTCAGTGTGGTAGGTATGTCAATTTAGTAAGGTTTGTAGATTTGTAGTCAGTAAGGTAACACAAGACAAACTTACTGGTGTGTCACTTAAGTGAAGGTAGGTTTATGGAGTTGTAAAATTATTTATGGTGTGAAGATGAACAAGTTTTAAATGTCAAGTGACGTTTTAAGGCACCATGTACAATTTATAGTGTCAGCAGGTTAGGTACATTATATTCCTTAAACTTTATGTCCGTTTTATAATGGTTTGTGTAACAGTTGATAGACTGACGGGTCAGTCCCTCAAATACATTAGTCATGTTTCATTTGTTTTCAAATGTGTTTCATGCTTGTTTCTTCTCCTGAAGGGGCTAAAAGTTGAATTGCTTATCAAGTTGATGTGCTGCTGAAATGTCTATAGGTCAATATACTAAATATATACCTTCTTGTTATAAACTGTCAAGCAATATTTTGGCACGTTTTACAGTCAAACCTGCCATGAAGGTCATCAGTATAATACCTGTTTATAAAGGTTACTTGTTTCTGCTCCCATTACTATACAAAACAAAATCATCAAACCTCTATATCAATGCCATCATTTTATACAAGCTATTTTTTCTTCCCCCTTTTGTTTCCTAAATGTACAGTATTGCCTATATTTAGAATTTTGCTATAGTGAATCCATCAATAGGATTCTATTGCAAATAGATCAACTTTGCTAAGTTTTAGCTCATGTTGGTCTAAGACTTTGAATGTCAGTGATGTGAAATATGCATTCGTGAATAGCATTGAATACCAGATGAGCAATGCAGGCTCTTTTGGCCACTTGTTCTGTTGTGTATAGTGATGGCGAATCCATAACAGTGAAAAATAAAGATTTCAGCTTAGTTTTCATTCTACTTAGCGTACTGCACTACCAAACTGCAAAGAGGAGATGAAGATGCATGCATTGTATCAAAACTGTACATTACAGTCCTTGATTTTAGCCACAGATATGGTTTTAGGCACAATTTGTTGATATATTTGTTGAAATCGACTGTGTTACTCTGATACATATTGATATAACTTGTTAGTGCTTTTTGATGGATTTCTAGTCGTCCTGTACAACAAACATTTGGATCCTGCTTCAAAGATCTACGATAGGCTGAATGTTGATGTGACGTCATGATTGGTCTGCACCTCATTGTTGCTATTTTTCACTTTGAAGTGATAGAGACTGTGACGAGATTGTCTAGGTTCTGATATGGTAATTGCCTTGAATTAAGATTTAAGTAGTTGTTACTGATGGTTATAGAGTATGGTCCTGTCCCAGACACAGTCCGCCAGGCTCCATGTGTTCTGATATTGATTCAATGTTTGTTGTAAAACAAGCAAAGGCAGTTTACCGACCGGTTTTGGGTTTGAAAAAAAAAAAAAGAATTCCAGCTCCTGAGATCATCTTGCATCCACTGTTTAGGTGATGACTAATAAGGGAATATAGGCCTTTTAGGGTGGTAAAGCATGGGAGCACATAGACTTGGCCAGGGAGGCTCTTATGGGGCAGTGTTTGGTGCAGTAATGGAGAGGATTGATATTTTAATGTGCATTGATACAATTAGCTTACAGCAAAACCATTATATTGTAGTTCTGTATCACCCTACTAACAGCCACTGAAACGATGATGAATCTGATGATGAATCTGATGATGTTCACCACCTCATAGTTCAATGTCACAAGTCAAGGTTATATTTGGCTATATTTTAAATGAGTAGATTTATTTAAAAACAAATAAAAGGAAGAAACTGAAAACAAATTCTTTGTTTATGTCTAATTAATTATATATTGTTGTATTTCTGTCTTTAACTTTCAGAGCAGTTAGTAGAACAAAGACAATGGACATAATATGTGTTGTATCTGATCACTTCTCTTCCATGTTTGTCGATTATTCACCTGTAAATATTATACTGTATATCTAGACAGTTACTTTGACTATAGATGAAGTATTTATTAGTTAGCTAGGGGAAGCTATATAGTAAAATAAAATCATTTTGTGTACATTTAGTCCTTCGATGAGAATATTACATTGATTATGTTAAAGACATTTCACTCCATTTGTTACATAATTGATAAATATGGTTATTTACTGCAATAGAAGAAGTTATCAATATGAAGTTATATTTCTTTTAACTAATTCTTATTGGGTATTAAGTTTTATAAAACTATCGGGCCACATAGGTTGTGATTATAACAAAGTTATCTATATATATATTGACAGAAGGATGTGTCCGAGTTCCATGGGAAGAAGATGAGCATGGTGGAGCCTCACATTTTCTCTATCAGTGAGGCAGCCTTTCAGAGTCTTCGTACTACAGAAGTGAACCAGTCCTGTATTATCAGTGGAGAGAGTGGGGCAGGAAAGGTACCGTCTTGTCCATAACTCATATAAAACATTAAATTACATCACAAGCTGCCAATGCTCTTAGTCCTTGAGAAGGGATCTACTATTGATTATATATAAAATTCATGTGTCTGTGTACTTCTGATGAATCATTGACATCATTGTGTTCTTGCTTGATTAGGCTTGTGATAGTGAGATGATACTAACATATTGCTGTTCAAGAAGCAGAATATCAATAAATTGCCAAATATGTATTCAAGATTAGGATATTAATGGCCATTTTAAAGTAAGAATGAAGATATCAAACCCAGTTAAACAACAATTGAGTAGTTAAACAGTACTGTGGGGTGAACTTGACCATCTGTTGTGTGTCCAGTATTGGAAGGGTTGACTAACCATCTGTTTGGTGGACAAGGTCATTGATTAGACCAGAAATAGAATTGTTGTGTAGGTCTCGATGGGGACTATCTAATGTAATCACATGGAGGGACAAAGGGTCAGAGTGGATTGTATTTCTGATAACCTCAAACAGTCCTGCACTTGTGCACAGTCAGTTTGCCTGAAATGGATGTTTTGTTTTCCCAGATGTCCTTGCCTGGTCCATCACGTACAGCCCCATCTTTCTGATAAGCGTTATTTCACACCACTTGTTTCCTATTGCTATGACCTTTGCTAGTTGGCATTATTATTTCCTTGTTCATCGATCAGATGAACCCTTGCTCATATAAAAAGACATTATCTTCATGAATAGACAGCTTTATAACGAGACTGCCATCATATGATACTTTCCATACACACACTGATTCCAATGAAACCAAAGACACTTGTATCACATACCACTTTTGATAAAGGCACATAACCAAATAGAGACACCTGTATCATCATCAACAGAAAAACATGTAAATAAACAAAGACACCTGTGTCACCATTGTCAATGGAGGAACATGTATCCAGACAAAGACATCTGTGTTATAGCTCTCATTAGAGGAAAACCTATCAGACAAAAGCACTTGTATTGCCACTATCAACAGAAGAATACTTACCTATACAAAGACACATGTATTATCAATGTCAACATAGAGACACATACCCAAACACACCTGTATCACCACTTTTGATAGAGGTCAGAAACACATACCCAGACAAACACACCTGTATCATCACTGTTGATAGAGGTAAGAAACACATACCCAGACAAACACACCTGTATCACCACTGTTGATAGAGGTCAGAAACACATACCGAGACAAACACACCTGTATCATCACTATTGATAGAGGTAAGAAACACATACCCAAACACACCTGTATCACCACTGTTAATAGAGGTCAGAAACACATAACCAGACAAACACACCTGTATCACCACTGTTGATAGAGGTCAGAAATACATACCCAAACACAACTATATCACCGCTGTTGACATATGTCAGAAACACATACCCAGACAAACACACCTGTATCACCACTGTTAATAGAGGTCAGAAACACATAACCAGACAAACACACCTGTATCACCACTGTTGATAGAGGTCAGAAATACATACCCAAACACAACTATATCACCGCTGTTGACATATGTCAGAAACACATACCCAGACAAACACACCTGTATCACCACTGTTTATAGAGGTCAGAAATACATACCCAAACACACCTGTATCACCACTTGTGATAGAGGTCAGAAACACATACCCAGACAAACACGCCTGTATCATCACTGTTGATAGAGGTAAGAAACACATACCCAAACACACCTGTATCACCACTGTTAATAGAGGTCAGAAACACATAACCAGACAAACACACCTGTATCACCACTGTTGATAGAGGTCAGAAACACATACCCAGATAAACACACCTGTATCACCACTGTTGATAGATGTCAGAAACACATACCCAGACAAACACACCTGTATCACCACTGTTTATAGAGGTCAGAAATACATACCCAAACACACCTGTATCACCACTGTTGATAGAGGTAAGAAACACATACCCAGATAAACACACCTGTATCACCACTGTTGATAGATGTCAGAAACACATACCCAGACAAACACACCTGTATCACCACTGTTTATAGAGGTCAGAAATACATACCCAAACACACCTGTATCACCACTTTTGATAGAGGTCAGAAACACATACCCAGACAAACACACCTGTATCATCACTGTTGATAGAGGTCAGAAACACATACCCAGACAAACACACCTGTATCACCACTGTTTATAGAGGTCAGAAATACATACCCAAACACACCTGTATCACCACTTTTGATAGAGGTCAGAAACACATACCCAGACAAAGACACCTGTATCATCACTGTTGATAGAGGTCAGAAACACATACCCAGACAAACACACCTGTATCATCACTGTTGATAGAGGTAAGAAACACATACCCAGATAAACACACCTGTATCACCACTGTTGATAGATGTCAGGAACACATACCCAGACAATCACACCTGAATCACCACTGTTGATAGAGGTCAGAAACACATACCCAAACACACCTGTATCATCACTTTTGATAGAGGTCAGAAACACATACCCAGACAAACACACCTGTATCACCACTGTTGATAGAGGTCAGAAACACATAACCAGACAAACACACCTGAATCACCACTGTTGATAGAGGTCAGAAACACATACCCAAACACAACTGTATCACCACTGTTGATAGAGGTCAGAAATACATACCCAAACACACCTGTATCACCACTTTTGATAGAGGTCAGAAACACATACCCAGACAAAGACACCTGTATCATCACTGTTGATAGAGGTCAGAAATACATACCCAAACACACCTGTATCACCACTTTTGATAGAGGTCAGAAATACATACCCAAACACAACTATATCACCGCTGTTGACATATGTCAGAAACACATACCCAGACAAACACACCTGTATCACCACTGTTAATAGAGGTCAGAAACACATAACCAGACAAACACACCTGTATCACCACTGTTGATAGAGGTCAGAAATACATACCCAAACACAACTATATCACCGCTGTTGACATATGTCAGAAACACATACCCAGACAAACACACCTGTATCACCACTGTTTATAGAGGTCAGAAATACATACCCAAACACACCTGTATCACCACTTGTGATAGAGGTCAGAAACACATACCCAGACAAACACGCCTGTATCATCACTGTTGATAGAGGTAAGAAACACATACCCAAACACACCTGTATCACCACTGTTAATAGAGGTCAGAAACACATAACCAGACAAACACACCTGTATCACCACTGTTGATAGAGGTCAGAAACACATACCCAGATAAACACACCTGTATCACCACTGTTGATAGATGTCAGAAACACATACCCAGACAAACACACCTGTATCACCACTGTTTATAGAGGTCAGAAATACATACCCAAACACACCTGTATCACCACTGTTGATAGAGGTAAGAAACACATACCCAGATAAACACACCTGTATCACCACTGTTGATAGATGTCAGAAACACATACCCAGACAAACACACCTGTATCACCACTGTTTATAGAGGTCAGAAATACATACCCAAACACACCTGTATCACCACTTTTGATAGAGGTCAGAAACACATACCCAGACAAACACACCTGTATCATCACTGTTGATAGAGGTCAGAAACACATACCCAGACAAACACACCTGTATCACCACTGTTTATAGAGGTCAGAAATACATACCCAAACACACCTGTATCACCACTTTTGATAGAGGTCAGAAACACATACCCAGACAAAGACACCTGTATCATCACTGTTGATAGAGGTCAGAAACACATACCCAGACAAACACACCTGTATCATCACTGTTGATAGAGGTAAGAAACACATACCCAGATAAACACACCTGTATCACCACTGTTGATAGATGTCAGGAACACATACCCAGACAATCACACCTGAATCACCACTGTTGATAGAGGTCAGAAACACATACCCAAACACACCTGTATCATCACTTTTGATAGAGGTCAGAAACACATACCCAGACAAACACACCTGTATCACCACTGTTGATAGAGGTCAGAAACACATAACCAGACAAACACACCTGAATCACCACTGTTGATAGAGGTCAGAAACACATACCCAAACACAACTGTATCACCACTGTTGATAGAGGTCAGAAATACATACCCAAACACACCTGTATCACCACTTTTGATAGAGGTCAGAAACACATACCCAGACAAAGACACCTGTATCATCACTGTTGATAGAGGTCAGAAATACATACCCAAACACACCTGTATCACCACTTTTGATAGAGGTCAGAAACACATACCCAGACAAAGACACCTGTATCATCACTGTTGATAGAGGTCAGAAACACATACCCAGACAAACATATCTGTATCATCACTGTTGATAGAGGTAAGAAACACATACCCAGATAAACACACCTGTATCACCACTGTTGATAGATGTCAGGAACACATACCCAGACAATCACACCTGAATCACCACTGTTGATAGAGGTCAGAAACACATACCCAAACACACCTGTATCATCACTTTTGATAGAGGTCAGAAACACATACCCAAACACACCTGTATCACCACTGTTGATAGAGGTCAGAAACACATAACCAGACAAACACACCTGAATCACCACTGTTGATAGAGGTCAGAAACACATACCCAAACACAACTGTATCACCACTGTTGATAGAGGTCAGAAATACATACCCAAACACAACTGTATCACCACTGTTGACATATGTCAGAAACACATACCCAGACAAACACACCTGTATCACCACTGTTTATAGAGGTCAGAAATACATACCCAAACACACCTGTAACACCACTGTTGATAGAGGTAAGAAACACATACCCAGATAAACACACCTGTATCACCACTGTTGATAGAGGTCAGAAACACATACCCAGACAATCACACCTGTATCATCACTGTTGATAGAGGTCAGAAACACATACCCAGACAATCACACCTGTATCACTACTTCTGATAGATGTCAGGAACACATACCCAGACAAACTCACCTGTATCACCACTGTTGACAGATGCCAGAAACACATACCAGACACAGACACCTGTATCATTGATATAGAAAAGAAAAACACAAACACAAACAAAAACACCTGTAGTTAACAGGGATGAGGGATGCCATAGACTCTCACACATCTATGACAAAGTGTTAAACAAAGCGTAGCCAAATTGACTTTAGTACATTGTTACCATCTGTGTATTTTTCGGTATGTAACCTGTTTTCTGTCTTGTCACGCTATTTTCAACCTTAGTATACATAGGATTATAGTACACCGGAAAAAGTTATTTGATTTCTTACCATCTTGAACACTACGTACATCAGTGCTAGTGCACTCCACACTGGTCATTTGTCTGATAAAGGTGACTGTGTAGTCATGGAAACATCACACTCTAAACTGCTACTGGTTGTGTTTTAAGAACTTCTTTTTCATTGACATTACAACCAAAAGAAAATGTTCCAAAATTAGAGAAACACATATCTAGACAAAGACACATGTTACTGCTCTGTCAATAGAGTAACGCAAACCAAAACAAAAACACCTATAAATTGCTGTCAATAGAGGAACACATACCCAAATTAGACACCTGTATCCCCAGAAAATACGTCTGTATTATCATTTTCGAAAGAAGAACACAAACCCTGACAAACACAACTGTATCATTGCTGTAAATAGCTGAATTTATACATAGAATCCTTCCCAGCTGTACAACAACACCTATATATTGAGTCCTAATGTTATCAATACACCATTATCCTTATAAAAATATCTATCCAAAACTGCAAAGATATCAGACTGTCCTTAATGTCCTTACAGACTTTAAAATATACTTGTACTTTCTGACCAATTTTAGTAGTCCCTCTATACCAACATATTTTTGTGACCATGTTTCAGACGGAGAGTACAAAATTTATCCTGCAGTACTTGTGTAGTGTAACCAATCATGTGTCTTTTTGGGTGGAACAGCAAATTCTGGAGGCCAATACCGTCCTTGAAGCCTTTGGTGAGTACATAATGATACTTTAGGATCGTTACCAGGGAATGCAGTTCAACACCATCAGATATAGTGTTGATTCTCAGACAAAGTCAACAGTAAAACTTTTTTTTGTTTTTATTGTCATCAATGGCTGTCTATAATTATCATGTAATTAAAGAAGTCACAATCTTACCACATCCACACATGGTGAAATACTTTTACCTAGTATTCTGGTAATTTGGTTTAATTTCTACTTCCATAAAATGAACTTTCAGAATGAAAAGAGTCTTCGTTCTAGAGAAGTTCTAGGGCTTTGGGTAGGAAACTTCTATAGGATAGTAGCACTTCTATGATAAAACATTTATCTTTTAATGAATTACAAGATGAAGTAAGAATCAGGATATCTGAATTGTATTCATCTTGAATTGCAAATGGCATATTTTTTTTTAGACTGGTAGCACTGTAAATGGCAGTGGTGTACTAAATATACCAGTGTAAATGGCAGCTTGTATTATGTATCACTCACTGCTGCACGGAAGCACCACTTTCAAATTCAATGCCTGCAGCTTTAAAAAAGACAAAAACTGATAATTGATTAATATATTTAAATCTGCCTTGTGATTATACATACTTTGTGAATATTGGATTTTACTTGAGCCAGACAAGAATTACAGCAGTATGTCAATTCTACCATAGAAAATATGCAAGAAAACCAAGTGTCTATTGATTGTTGGATGGAAGCATGGCCAGGGTGTGTGAGAGGGTTTATGCCGTGCTAACCTCAATGTGAATATAGCCTGTAGATGTCTGCTTTATGTGCATTCTGCATGAGTGTAATTAAAGGCACAACATTTTTATAGAGTTTTTGTTACAGACATTATCATCTTATGTCATTTCCTAGTCTAAGTTAATCACTGTTTTACATATTACACGAGAAGTTGGAGCAGCTGATTGGATCGAGCTGTTAAGTCATTTGGCTAGTTAATTGGTATTCTACTTTCATTTTTACATGAATGTAGTATCATATGATTTTGAGAAGATGATCCTGATTATCAGCAACATTTATTACTTTATTTGTCAATTGATAATGGCTGATTTGTATATATCCAAACCTCCATTAAAGGTCAACTGTGTTTAAATACCTGTGATGTTTAGCGTCCCAATGTTACATATTTAATAGAGATTCAACATCTCTATAAAGGTCACCTGCTTGAAAAGACCTTTTCATGAGTTTCCATGAGTGGTCTTTATAAACAGGTTTTGATAGCAGGAACTGTAGAATATATGATAATCAAGAACATGCTATAAAGAACTGGTCCATGACCTTCTTTAACATACCTCTTTGGCAATGGCATACACTAGGAAGCTAGTCAAGGGAGGAACATGAATTGCAAATGATTTGTAAATATGGGTGATTCATATTTGATGAAGTAGATGGAATTCCATCTAGCTGTTTGATGATCAGAGTCCACTGTAAACTGGTTGGCACTTAAAACTGGGGGACTCTCGGGAACATTTAGTATTGATGAATGTGAGTAGGAGCTATTAGGAGAAAGAATGTTTTGGCTGCTGATGCTGGAGAGGCATTGCTTGTCCTCATCCCCGGACATGACTGCTATATACAACATTGGCATTTGGAAAGGCAGCATGAATGTGTCCAAACAACCAGCGACAATGCAAGGCAATCTCATAATACTGCTACACATCAGACAAACTGATGCCTACTTTGGGGATCAGGGACACTAGGAACCATTAGGATCATTGGTATTAGAGGAACATAATTGTGTAGTTATTTGAATCAATTGATACATAAGTGTAGGAACTGTCTGTGGTAAATTTGGTCAATGTGCAGTTAAATATAAACATTTGTTTTATCTGATGAACCAATACAGTGTATACCATAGCCTTAATTAGCTATATGGGTACCAAGCAATATTATGTTTGAAAAAAGAGCCTTCTAAATTTGGTAAATCAAAAATTTATTAGCCTTTCTTCTGAAATAAGTCACTAAAGATTACTGTAAAGGAATGATTCACCAAGAGCAAATATCTGATAACTCACACTGGGGAGCTAAATGTTCATTGAGCAAACCTTAACAGATGCTTTTGTAAAAAGATGGCCAAATAGGACCTCTAGGAATTTTGATGAAAATACTGGATAAAACCTCATGAATAAGTCAGTGACAACATATCAGTAACAATGAAACTCCAGAATTATAGTCTTATCACTGTCTATGTGATGTAGTCATAACAGGCCAAGAAACACAAATGCAGATTTGAAGAGATTTTCTTGTGACCAAGAACATCAGACAACTCCATTATTACAAACACTTACTGTCAAGCCAAAACATAACTAAGAGAAAGAAAGCCTCAACTTTGATCAATACCAGACAAATTATATGTTGACTGTCAACTGGTGTGTATGACATGTAGTTAAACAATTTGTCAATCCTTCTTGATGTGTAAAGATACTAATCAGAAATGAGATGGTACTTGATACAGTTCAATACAGGATGTGATTTAATCATTATGTAAGTTTAGAAATATTTATAGTTACAGCCATGAAGAAAATGTGCCCCCTTACTCATGAATTTGAACTGGGTGTATTGTTGATAGATATAGGAGCCTAGTAACCTGCCAGCCTCCAGATGACCCTAGCTGATTCAAATAACAATACTCCAAACCCATTACACAAGCCTTCCATTGCTGAGGCGTAACCCAAACATGTTTTAGATTTTAAATCATTTTACAAAAGTACAGAATGTTATACAGTAAGGGGATATTTCTTTAATATTATTTTACACCTGTTGAAAAGGAAAAATATTATCTTTAAATGATAGTACTAAATTTGATAAGTGACTATAGTTAAGAATTGGATTGCATATAGAATAACCTGTATTCTGTTAAGAAACAAGTGGTGGTAGTTTTGATAATTTAGAATTATTATTTATATTTCATGTAAGACTGGAAATCATTACAGATCAATCAATAAAGGAACAAATGTTATGGGAATTCTAATTTCCAAATCTTACCAGTGTGACCTTTCATAGTATCTAGTTCCAAACTATAAGCGTATTGGGCTGTGTAAGATGTTTATTGTGTATCATATACATATATCCTTAGCCTGATGGAGTAGTCATTTCCTGTTTTGTTAGGTTAGGTCTGGTGCCATTTCCTGCACTGCTATAAACACCCCTCTGTCTCATGTATATATATTGGTACCACATTTGTTATAATTTTAACATTGTTAGAGTAATGAGAATCAGATGTTGTAATATAACATGGTAGTAGACAGTTATTTAGATGATATTGCTTTTAAGAAGTTTTGTGGTACCTATACCTGAGCTCACCTGTCCTGCTTGAATGATATGACAATTGTCTGACAAATATTATGATTTCATACTGATTACTCATTATCATGCTATAGACATCAGGGAAATTCTATGACCTACATTGATATCATATGACTGACTGGCCACCACTTGTCTGGTGTGTCCTTGCTATGACTTACAAGGAAGTTTCTTTGATGTTGATGAGATGCTGAGTCCAAGGTAGATTTAAACCTGAGTCAAGTTTTGCTAATGAGAGTGCCTTGTAAATCTAGTATCTATGTTATCCCAATTTCCTCCTTAACCATTAAGTACCAGGATATGCATGTTCAAGGGCTGTTTCACTTCCTGATTCAAAGTGATAACCAGTAAAATTATGAAATAATAAAAAAACATATAATGCGTTTTAAAAAATGTATGGTTCTTGTCGAACTGAAATGCATGTAGTTCTAAGAAGATTTAGGAATATCAGCTAGTCCATGACTTAAATTTGTATTAAATTAAATGTCCTGTTATGATGTCGTGGTTCTGTCATATATTTGATTTTCATGAAGTAAGGACACATCACAGAGTTGTATTACCTTAATTCTGCTATTTTTATCAAGCCTCTTCCCTGGGGCTTTGTTTAAAAAAGAAATTGATTGATCCTTACAAAGTGTTAGAATCATTAATCAGATACAGTACTAACTTATATTTATTGACCTACATGCTGTGTCAAACAAGATCTTACATTTATATCTGTTTCTGCGAGGATACTTAAGCACCACATTGGTGGTTTTCTTAATGACGATAGATAAGTAGACAACATTGCTACTGAGTATTGTATGTAGAGGTACAGAAGTATTCCAAAGAAACAAGATTTATTATCTGTTGCTAACCTTCAATAGTGCATTACTGAAATGTTTATGTAGTTCATATATATATAAACTTTATATCTCTTTTGTTGTACAGGTAATGCCAAAACAGTGCGAAACGACAACTCCAGTAGATTTGGAAAATTTATGCAAGTGTGTTTTGATGATTCGTGCCAAATAAAGGGTTGTATAGTACAGGATTATTTGTTAGAACAGTCCCGCATCACATTCCAGTCACCAAATGAACGTAATTATCATGTTTTTTATCAATTTATCGCGGCTGCTCAGGCGGCTCCAGATCTTAAGGAACAGTTCCACATACAACCGGTGGAAAGTTATGCCTACCTCAATCAAAGTGGCTGCTATGTACTCAATGGTGTCAATGACTTGACCATGTTTGACCGCCTACGACTGGCCATGAACGTTCTCAACATTCCCCAACAAATGTCCGACGGAATATTCTCGGTGCTATCTTCCATTCTGCTGCTGGGTAATCTGCGGTTTGGGGATGTGGTGGAGGGTGAAGGGAGTGAAGTGTTGGAGGAGGACGCAGGTGTCCTCACCACTATATGTGGCATGTTAGGCTTTGTACCTGAAGATCTCACCAAAGCTCTACTCTTCAGGCAGATCCAAGTCCGGGGAACTGTAACCAGTATACCCTTCAGGTTCCAGGAGGTGAGTACACACAGCGCCATCATCAATGACCAAAAGATGAGTATAGGTCCCCATCCATTAAAACCTTTTTGGGAATCCTCTTCGATATGATTGGGAGAATAAATGCTTTTTCCTTGGTATTATTGACTTAAAGTTAGAAACTGTGCCTTGACCTTGGATCAGATATTTTGGAAATAGTATACCACTTCGCCTTCACAAACAATTTGTAAATGTTAAGGATGCTTACAAAACTGATTTTGAAAGTGATTATGAATGAGTACTAATGCAAGGACATGATCACTGCTTTGTGAAATAAAGTCCCAATACCAATATAGTGTATCAGAGATAATTCACCTGAGCTGCAAACTGTTTAAAAAATATAGTAGATCAACTTAAATACTGTCAATTTTAAATTTGTACAGGACATAATACAGTTTCATTTTCTTATAGTGTCAATTATGAACTAATTACTTACATAGAGAGCTAAGATTTTTAGACACACCAGTGAATGGTAACTTTTAATTCAAGTTAAGAGTTGGATACAGTAGAGCGAAACATTGAATAATAACTACATCACCCAGCTGTTTCCTCCATCTAGGAGTCGTCCGCGGTGCTCAAGGCCTAAATGTTGAAGCCTCAGAGATGACTGAGAAAAATCCAAAGTTATCGAAAGAAAAGACAAAATCTAAAGGGGAAGGTGTAATAGCCTCATAATGGCAGAAATTTCATGATTCTCATATATCTGATATTATTAGAACAGTGTCAGTTGCATGTATGTATTCTAAGCCATGCCACTATTTGACACTGATAAACAGCAGTTTGATAGTACATTTATCCTGAAATGCACAGAATTAACAAAGAATAATAGAATATATCACATGTTTATAATTGATAAATAAGTTAGATTTAAAGCTACTTGGTGTTGAGTTTTAGAACCTGTAGCTGATTGGTAAGACTAATGTCAGTGTGTAATTTTGTTATAAATCTTTATTCATCAGTGATTAATTATTCTACTTCTCATATCCAAACATGTTAAATTTTCCATTATGGTAATCTATTTCTTTGAATTGAAGACACAGCTCAAAAATTACAATATTTAGTAGAAAACTTTCGAGCACATGAGTGTGAACGATGACAACGGTGGTGACTGTGACACTGAACAGAGAAGGCACTGATGGAAGCTGAAGTCTGTTCTTTGTCACCCTGTGGCAACTCCCACCTAATGGGGTTAAAGTAGTACAATTAGAGTAAAAACAGGTTACAATGTAATACTATAGACAAACAGAACTACTCCAAATGAACAGTTCTAGTCATGTATGTTGATCATCACTCCCTGATAGGTTGGTTAGTTTATTGCCCAGTAGATTTCCTCTGTTGATTGTAACACTTAACACTACATTGGTATTATCTCCTGTGAATTTCTTACAGGGTTCTATATTTTCCACTTCCTCTGTAGTGACATGAGGTTGGGGAGAAGCAAGGTCATGTTGCTTTCTCTCTATAAATCTTAGGTTTTAGTTGTGATTTGGTATTAATTGTAAATGTTGTATTGATTTCCCTGATAGCTCAGCTGTAGAGCGTTGATTGATGTGACTTCAGGTGATTATTCCAGGTGTATGGTTAGACTGTCCCTACCCATGGCAGTTACTGTTGTGTTGGTTGTGTCCTTGGGCAGTTGCTCTGTGGCATGTGATGGGCTTCCTTTATGTTGTTAATTGAGGTAATCTTCATCTACTGTTGACGGGGTGATAATCCAAGCAAACATTAATATGAGTGTATGTATATATTTCAATTTATGATTATGAACATATAATTGCTTTTGAGGTCAAGGTCACAAATGTGTTTAAATTGTTACTTTAGTCTTAATTTCTATTTCATTTGACAATCCTAAATGTCACCTGCAGGCATCCCTTTAGTGACTACACGACCGATTTCATCTTTATACAAATGATCCATACATCTTGTACTTTATCAGTATTCCGTTTGTATTTTCTATTCCCTTTTAGAGGAGTTATGCCCATTTATGTTCATAAAAAAAACTGAGGAAACTGTGTTTGTTAGCAATCATGTAGATGCTTACAAAGATTAAGAACACATTTTAAAAACAATTCTTCATTGAACTACCAGACAATGTGACTACCAGTCAGAAATATTTGTATCCTAGTTGTGTGGTCTGTAATGTATAGATAGCTTTCTGTCATTCTGAGGAATTATTCTCAACATTCTAAAGATTTTTCCTAAACTGCTGGTTACAATGAAACTGCATTTCTATGAAAGAGTCTCCTTAATTACTGCATAGATTACAGTCAGGCTTTTATTTATAATCTTTACCAGCATGCAAGGAGGTTGTTTAATATGTTATCAATTTTCATAATGGTAATGTTAATCTCTTTCAATCACAAATTAGCTTTCAGGGCTCAAGATGCAAGAAGCATTAGGTAGTATAAACTTGTATTGATGTAGATGTTGTATAAATGTCTACTTAGTTCAATTAGGGATGGACAGTGCAGGCTTATACTGATTCAAGTGTCCACTTTATGTAGAAAGGGATATAATAGATTGTGAGGTGTGGTGTCTGGTCACAGAGTGTGTAATAACTACTAGAAGATTAAAGTGATGTGGTTTGATATACTCAGAGGGGTTGGTCGGCAGTAGAGAGATCATGAAATAAGTAGACAGTTGATGTTAGAGTATTTTCTGTTACACAGATACTTTGATAGACTGACCTTTCAAACAGTTGTCACTTTGTAGTAAACATGTACTTCACATAATGATGTATAATGTCAGTGTCTTTCTTATTTTCGGTAATAAGAAGGATTCCTAATTGGGAAATATGTTTATAGGCTACGGTACAGACTTCCGCATAATATTATACCATAACAGAAACAGTAGTAACATAAATGGTAACTTAGTTGATTACATTGAGGAACTGATTTAGAAAAAATTCCTTGTTTATGAGATCAAATGATATTAGATTTTTACTTTGATAAAGAAATTTGTAATTTTAAAACTGAAATGAAAACTGAAAATCTAACAATGTAGTTCAACTTTCGTATGGTTCACTAACAAATAGAAATTAAACAAGATGGATATCGTTGATTGACACCAAAAATTGTTCTTACTGAGAGTTTGGACAGATTTGATAATTATGGCCCCTGAACCATCTAGAAACACCTATTTCTGATACTGCCCTCCACTTGTGCATCCCTTTTACATTGAATTAAATTCCACTAAATATTTATGATATTGATATTTTGTCATTTTTTTCGGAATTTCTCCAAGAAAATCAGCCAAAGAACTGAAAATGTAGTTGTATTTGAATGAAAGTAAAAAGAGCCTGTGATTGATTTTGCGATTCTTGTTTTTTGTAGGCAAGTGAAAACCGTCATGCCATGGCCAAGGCCCTATACTCTCGTACTTTTGCTTGGCTAGTGGATGCCATCAACAAGTGCACCAATCCAGGCCAACACCAGACCAAGTTCCTTGGTGTTCTTGACATCTTTGGTTTTGAAAATTTTCAGGTACATGTATTAGAAATATCCCACTGAAAAGTATTTCAGACACAGTATACCTTTGTAGTGGTAGATTTTAGTGAGAGCATCAATATGCACTGCAACAGAAATGTCAACAACATAAACATGATATGACTTAGACATATACCAGAAACATTTTGCTGCTCACAGGTTAATATTTGTTTGTCTAGCCTAGTAAATTTGTCAAGAAATAGGTTTTAAAAAATATCATGTAGTCTGGCACTTGACAAATGTCAAAAATGTCAAAAATATTATCAATATTTGTCATTGAATCAGTTTTTTTTTTACAATATGAATTTTCATGCACAGTTTATGGAAAGCTATATGCAAAAGTCACTTCTTTACAGTTTTTTTTACATACCATCAATACAAATTCAGAACAATATTTGTCGGTTTAGATTTCTCTGACAATGTTGATGTGTGAAAATAGATTTGTGTCCATATGTATGGACATCTTGAAAGAAAATAAATGAATTAAACTCCTTTAAACAAAATTCTTATCAGGAAAGGTGAAGCAGAGCATGTAGTCTGCTATTCTACATTGATACTGCAACAAAGGAGGACATCAAAAAAGTTATCAGAAAGATTTTATTTTTCAAAAAGACAAAGGAGATGAGAGAGAATTTAAATGACAGCAATACAAAGTTATATAAGTCCTGGTTTCTTTAAGATATGGATTGTATACTGTTTGTAGTAGGGATGTTCTCATCATTAATGTTTAGTGATAGGAACTTCAGCAATGTTTGACTCTAGGACAGATTTGTCAGAGTTTTCATACTATAGTGCATTGTACTTTATGATTTTGTATTCAGACATTTGTCCTGTTTTTGTTTATAGACAAACAGCTTTGAACAGCTCTGCATCAACTATACAAATGAAAAGCTCCATAGATTCTTCAATCACTATGTATTCGCCTTGGAACAAGAACTGGTATGTATTAGGGACCCAAGTAGATACTTTGTATTTCTGAAGAATATTTGATGATTATCATATTAGAATGATGATGATGAGAATGTTTGTCTCATGTACAGAACTGTTGTGTCACATTAATTCCTAGTTATTTACTTTTGAGTGTGTACTTCTAACAAGCAGTTGGTATTTAGTTGAATTCCATATATATTGTATAGGATAAAAGTAAGGAAGTTTTGAACCATGACTGTTGATCCAATGTGTGTAAAAATCATCTATAGCCAGTTTGTAAATTACATGATTTGTGTTTGTGCAATTTATATTGTTTAATTAGGAAAATTAATGAATAGCTCAATTTTTATTTCTTTTAAGTATTGCTAGTTGTTCTTACCTGCTCAGAGAATTTCTTTTGAATTTTTATTTAAATCATTGCTAGCTAATGATTACGTCACTCGTTTATGTTGCATTGTAATCTGTAGTTTGATACTTTCACAATTTGTTTGATTATGTTTCAGTACAATGAAGAGGAAATATCTTTTGCACATATTACCTTTACTGATAACACTGAGTGTGTGGAACTCCTGGAGAAAGTACGTCCTATATACCAATATCAGTCCTGTATAAGATACCCTCTTATGATCTTTGTGTTTGACCAAAATCAGTAACATGGAAATTAATTCGTAATTTTCTATGAATTTCTTTTTATAATCTACATAAATTATTTACTCACTACTGGATTTCTGCGAAAATTATGATTGTAATTAAAAATGATATTATATTTCATGATCATCATCATCACAAAACCCATACAGTTAAGAGTTTTGCTTTCAAAGTGACTAGTTATAGATAGTTGATTGAAGTCCTTTAACCAGTGATATCCAATCATCAATTATAAAAAGACAACCAATTCCTAAAACTAAGAAGAACAAAACAAGAAAGTAATGGGTATAATGTGGTAAAAAAAACTATAAAGCTGATACTGCAAATGTCGATCTGATATTCCTTGAATGTTCAGTGTCTTAGATTCATTTCTTTTGAATTCAATAAGTCTTCTGTAAAACTTAAACATGAAAATGAATTTCATCTGTCTTCTTCACAGCCTCCAAGGTGTATACTGAAGATTTTGGATGAAGAATGTCGATTTCCTCAGGTGAGTAGTCAATGACCAGATTATCTGCATGTGCACTGTGGCTTAAGAGTTGTTTCCCTTTGTTTTGAATACGTTGATAAAAGAAGGATTGACATTGTTATGCCTACCTGTATCTTTATCTACATATGTATATTGTATTTTCCATATGTAGGGTACAGACAAGTCTTACCTGTTGAAGCAGCATGAGGCCTTTGAGAATCATTCCTGTTATATAAAGGGTAAAGACAGGCGGACTTGGGAAGTGGAGTTTGGAGTACGACACTACGCAGGCGTGGTGAGGTATCGTGCCCAGGGCTTCCTTGACAAGAACAAGGACACACAGCAAGACCAGTTGTTTGAACTCATGTACAACTCAAACAATGCTTTTGTAGAGGATCTCACCAGATTTCAGGTCAGTCTGACTTGCATACTGTATCATAATTAGGTGCTTTATGATATATATTTGATTTATGGAGGTCTGTAAAGATATTGTATAGTGCTTTATCCATCCTGAAAGTGAATTGTATACATAAACATTTATAACAGTTCTTCAGTTGGTTGCATAGTAAAGGTGTAACAAAAGTTTAAGTTCAGTTAATATGATGAGAAAATGATGTATTTCTTGCTTGATAGGTCATCTATAGCTATCATGCTTCATCCATCGTTGTCTGCCATCAATAAACATTTGACATTTCAAACTTCTTAAGTTCCACTACTGGAATTGAACTCAAACTTGCATGAAGTGATCCTGAGACAGTCCTGACCAAGTCTTGTTATTTTTGGGGAATATTTGAAATCCAAGATGGCCACCATCTTGAAAAACATATTTTAAACTTTTTCTCCAGTTTCACTGGTGCTATTGAGCTAATGATTGGTGGAAATTTTAAGGAAAGATGCAATCTTTTTCAAATGATTGCACAATCAATTTTCCTGTTCTACACCTATTTCAAACTTCTGAATTTTCACTAGTGGGATTAAGCTGTCAAAAAATAGGTTAGACTTGTTACAGTTACCTACTCCTCACTAAAACTCCCATCTGCATAATGGAAAACAGCTTCCTAGTAAGATTTCATTGAAAGTAGAAAAATAACCCTTCTCGTTGCTGAAAGTCGAGAAATTCAGAGAACTTTAGCTATTAGACTGTTATGTGTTTTTTCAGGATCTGCTGGGAGTCAGACTTGAAGATCTTGGAGGTAGACAGACAATATCACGCACATCACGAGGAAAACCAACTGTTGGGGACACATTCAAACATCAGTTATCTGCCCTTGTGGACATTTTGCATCTCACTAACCCATGGTATATATATATATATATGTCTTAAAGGCTTTATATTTGATTGAGCAAGAAATTTCAGATTTCTTTCTTTTGTTTGTAGACTCACTTGACCATTGAATTGTTGTCCAAAAGCAGACAATTTTATATCCATTCTTTTGGTTTGTTCACATTCAGAAATAATTTGATTAATCATACCTTTTAATATGAATCACAATAATATCTTCTGGACTTTCACGGTTACTTCGAAGCCATAGCCGAAGTTTTCAATAGCCTTTTATATCCTGGGATCGATAGGTCATTTGGTTATAGGTCAAATTCTAGAATGACCACCATGGTTGTTTACGATATGAATAGCTTTGTTTAACTTAAAAGAAGAAATATTATAGGACTGTAAGAATTTGGGCTGTTGGCCTTTGCTCATAGTAAACAGTACAGACACTGATGGAGAGATTGTTTTGTAAATCGTATTAAACGTCAGGCCCTATATCTGTGCATAGACAATCTGTGAAGGCATTCATATGTGGATAGAAAAACCCTCTAAAAACATGCTCTGCTGCTTATATGCCGATGCAGCTTGTAACCAGAAAAATATTATATATACATATATATTATATAATATATTCAGTGTACATGTACATAAAATTCTCACCTAAATTGTTGTCTTGGTAGATACCTAAATATTGTAGTGAAACACTCTTGTTTTTTCAATGTAACATGGCATTTCAATATCCTCACATGTTTTCAGGAATTTTCAGACCTCTTTAGATAACTGTACACAAAAAGCAATTTCTGTAAATGTTTATTCATGTTCCGTGATGTTCAGACTTAACTTTGTAATTATGTAATTGTGGTAATCATGATGTTCCAGGTATGTGAGATGCCTGAAGCCAAACGCTGGTAAAAAGCCTGATAACTATGTAGATGAAGAAGTTCTAACACAGCTCAGCTACTCTGGCATGTTGGACATCATCCGCATCAAGAGGGAGGTATGGCTCTTTTACCTGTTTATGTATTCTGAATAAACGATCTGCAGAAATCTGATTACCAATGATCTTTTTTATACCCAGGTATCTCAATGATATGTTAAGCAGTAGTGAAAGAATTTGATTCAACTCCAATGCTTTTAGAGAAATGTTTGGAATTATTTGAAAATTCAATAGCTCATGAATCATTAGAATTTTTTAATGATATCAAAATATTCTGTTTTGTCCTCAATTAAACCAAAATATTTTGTACAAATGTTACAGGGATATCCAGTCCATGTTCCAGTGGAGACATTTTTAGAGAAGTATGGATGTTTGCTGAAAAAACAGGCTAATCCTGAGGACCCTCGTATTCAGGTCAAGAACATCCTGAATGTACTGAATCTCCCTAGCACTGAGTGGCAGGTTGGGAAGTCACAGGTAATAACAGAAGTTATGTCCCTTGTACTGGTATCTTTTTCAACGTTTAAGCCATTTGGATGGAAATATGCTCAAATAACAATAATGTATGCCAATAATTTTACATATTTAGTAGGTTAGTGTCAGTGATTGGTCTTAATGTATGTTTCTACATAGCATAACTTAAATATTTAAAAGTTTGGGATTGGAAATGTCTTAAGTCTACTGAAAAGCTGGGGTAATGGCATTCAACCACTACATTTTCCAGGGGATATAACTCTGTATCTTTAGAAATATGTGATATATAGAAGGGTATATAAAATTTGTAAAACTTTTTCTTCTCAAAAATACTCGACTGTATTTAGAATTTTGCACTAAATTTTTTTTCCTTCGTTACTCATGAAGGTATTCATGAGGAATTCTGTATTTGAGCCTCTGGAGGAGAGAAGGTTCCACTTCTTACAGCTTAATGCATTACTTATCCAGACAGTGTGGAGGGGATATGTCTGTCGTCGGGGTAAGTTGTGGTTATGTTCATTTATTTATACCTTGTAGCATGACAGCCACCTATAGCATGGTCTACCAAAAAGACTTCAGAATCATCACTGCTGTTTCATTATTTAGGGAAATAAATAAGACCAATAAGAGATTTGAACTTCTTTGTCATATTTCAGGATAAACCTGGAAGTGATTGTCTTGCTGCAACTCAATAGTAACACCATAGTGTCAAAGGCATAACTCCTTAGTGACATAGGAGTAATTTTATAGTAATATAGGAGTAATTACTCCATAGTGACTTACTCCATAGTGACATTGGAATAACTCCATACTGTCAAAGGAGTAACTCCATAGTGACATAGGAGCAATTATGTAGTAATATAGGAGTAATTATTCCATAGTGACATAGGAGTAATTCTGTAGTAATATAGGAGTAATTATTCCATAGTGACATAGGAGCAATTATGTAGTAATATAGGAGTAATTATTCCATAGTGACATAGGAGTAATTCTGTAGTAATATAGGAGTAATTATTCCATAGTGACATAGGAGTAATTCTGTAGTAATATAGGAGTAATTATTCCATAGTGACATAGGAGTAATTCTGTAGTAATATAGGAGTAATTATTCCATAGTGACATAGGAGCAATTATGTAGTAATATAGGAGTAATTATTCCATAGTGACATAGGAGTAATTCTGTAGTAATATAGGAGTAATTATTCCATAGTGACATAGGAGTAATTCTGTAGTAATATAGGAGTAATTATTCCATAGTGACATAGGAGTAATTCTGTAGTAATATAGGAGTAATTATTCCATAGTGACATAGGAGTAATTCTGTAGTAATATAGGAGTAATTATTCCATAGTGACATAGGAGTAATTCTGTAGTAATATAGGAGTAATTATTCCATAGTGACATAGGAGTAATTCTGTAGTAATATAGGAGTAATTATTCCATAGTGACATAGGAGTAATTCTGTAGTAATATAGGAGTAATTATTCCATAGTGACATAGGAGTAACTCCATAGTGACATTGGAATTACGCCAAAGTGACATAGGAATGACTCCATAATGACATAGGAATAACTCGATAGTGTCAAAGGAGCGACTCCATAGTGACATAGGAGTAATTCCATAAATATATTGGAGTAATAACTCCATAGCGACATAGGAATTATTCCATAGTGACATAGAAACTACTCCATAGTGACATAGGAATTACTCCAAAGTGACATAGGAGTAATTACATAGTGACATAGGAGTAACTCCATAGTTATATTGGAGTAATTAATCCATAGTGACATAGAAATGGTCTACAGTAATGTAGCAGTAACTCCACAGTGATGTAGGAATAGCTCCATAGTGAAATAGGAATATGTAACAGTAATATAGAGGTAACTGCAAAGTTACATTAGAATAGCTCCATAGTGAAATCGGAATATTCAACAGTAATATAGAGGTAACTGCAAAGTTACATTAGAATAGCTCTATAGTGAAATAGGAATATTCAACAGTAATATAGAGGTAACTGCAAAGTTACATTAGAATAGCTCCATAGTGAAATAGGAATATGTAACAGTAATATAGAGGTAACTGCAAAGTTACATTAGAATAGCTCCATAGTGAAATAGGAATATTCAACAGTAATATAGAGGTAACTGCAAAGTTACATTAGAATAGCTCCATAGTGAAATAGGAATATTCAACAGTAATATAGAGGTAACTGCAAAGTTACATTAGAATAGCTCCATAGTGATGTAGGAATATTCAACAGGAATATAGAGGTAACTGCAAAGTTACATTAGAATAGCTCCATAGTGATGTAGGAATATTCAACAGTAATATAGAGGTAACTGCAAAGTTACATTAGAATAGCTCCATAGTGAAATAGGAATATTCAACAGTAATATAGAGGTAACTGCAAAGTTACATTAGAATAGCTCCATAGTGAAATAGGAATATTCAACAGTAATATAGAGGTAACTGCAAAGTTACATTAGAATAGCTCCATAGTGATGTAGGAGTAACTCAATAATGACAAAGTTGTAACTCCATAGTGACAAAGGAATAACTCCTTAGTGACAAACTAGTTATAGTGAAATCTGGATAGCAACGTATGTTTTAGTGTGTGTTAGGCTTTCAAAGACAACGTATACTGAAATCCTTTCCCCATCCTGTTCTCGAACAATTTCATTAAATAGCTTTCCATGCCTTATCAACTTAGGGCCAGGAAGTAGAAACTATAATCCTTGAAATAAACTGATGAGTTGGAAACATTCACTTCATTAGTCAACGTATTTTACACAGAGATTGTATATAACCCGAAAGAAACCAATAAGATAGAAGTGCTTTACACTCACCGTGCCAACCTCCAAAAAATTGATTTCTTCTTCCTCACAACTCTGTCATCATCTCGTGACCTGCATGTCTGATGAGGGTTATACCTACTTGGTAACCTTTTTGTCTTTAACGACACTAAACTATCATATAGCATGAAGCTGTCATTGGTAATTCATGCATTGACAGGAATTCTAATGATTTCGTGCATTTTTGTATTTGGACAGGTATTTTCATGTGATTGAATTTATACCATTTCATGTCGCTGTACAGGTACATGAAGTATGTTCTTAAAACCTTAAATATTACAATGTATTATTCTTTATTAATAATTGCTTAACACAATGTAATATTGTAACAACAAGGAGTAAAAGAAAATTTCTTGCCAATTCTGAGGCTTTAAGTAGTTACCTCTTGGTTAGAAGTTGGCCTTCCACTGATCCAATGTGAATTTCATTACTGAGGTAAAACTCCCTCCTTCACAAAATCTTTGCCATCAAAGACAATCAAAGTCCATCTCAATTTCCTGTATCACCAATGATATGAAAAAAAAATATTCCACCCATTATGGAACTCAAACTAGCGACCTCTTACTCTCAGAATACATGCACATTTAAGGCACATTTAAACTTTCTGTTATGTTTTTATATCTAACATGAATTCCTATTAGATATGTGATTGATGAGTCAAGGAAGTTTTAAAGGCTCACCAAAATGACAAATTTGTGATGAGTTTCCTAAATTGCATATTGAATGGAAACAAATTCAAGACCCTTTGCATTATATGATCAATAATTCAGGCAAATATTGTAGAAAAATGGATATATCTATATTAATCTTTGAAGTTATTTCAGCTCTTTATCATTGGTATCAATTGTTACATCAGAATGCAATTTGTGTGATGTCATTTCGTTATGTAAACATGATATCACAATAGGTTATATATGCATAATATGAATGCAAAAATATAACATGGATATAGTCACCGAACAGCTAGACTATCTATCGTGTGATAAAATATGATATTTTGTTACAAATAATTAGCTTATAATATTTCATCATTTTTCAACATGATTAAGTATCTCAGTTTAGATAGTGGTTAATGCTTAGCACAAAGTATTGTCTCTGTACAAACAATAGCATATCTACTGTTACTTTTGATGTGTCTGTGCAGTTCCCTGGTGATGGAAGGGATCGTAGGGGTAAAGATTTATTAGTATTTATTCCTTTATTGTAGCAGTCTAACAGGGTAGAAATGATGACCAATTCTGTCAATTTGCTGGAAATGAATGTGATCTAGGTTTAATATGCATGTGTTAGCAACAGTCACTGTCAGATTATTCTGAAAGTGATAGCAGATTCCCTGCACTTCTACTGAGCATCATACCTCAGTTTAGGAATTGGGATAAAAAGTCACAGAACTGGTGAAGATTTGCTTTCCTGATATCCATTATACAATGTATTCTTTAACATGAATACTTAATTTGATGCGAACTCTTGCTGTTTGACCTGTGTGGAATAAGTATAAAGTCTTTGGATGGTAGAAATCATATGAACAGCTAATACCAAGAGTATAGACGGATCTATAAATTTTGTATGCCCAATTAATCACTTACACAAAACTGCTATCATGAAAGGCAATGAAGGGAGTAGGTGTTTTGTGGGGTGATATTGGGAGCAGTACTCATGTTTGATAGAGGGGTATTGAAATGGTGGAGGGCGGCTCACCTCTTCTGTCCACAGCGTATTGTACTCCTATTGATTTCTGGACACTATGATTGCAATTGATGACACTCCATGTGCCTCAAGTATTGATTTTCACATTACACAACAATGTTCTCAAGTGAGGCAGAGCGACAGATCTGCTGACGAAATGCACACTTTTTATAAGCTTTGGACATATTATACTGGTATCGAGGCGTCCGTCTGTACGTCTGTACGTCTGCCATTTTCTTACCGAAGCTGTTACTTCTGGCCTGTTTAAACTGATAAACATTGCTATTTATGTATGTGGCCTTCATTTAGCTTTCCCATGAAAGTTAACGTTATCCTGTGCTTACTTAATTATCTGTACAGTCAGATCACCAGGAGAAAATGAAAACTTATCTCTTTGAAATAAAGGGAGATAGAATTAACACAATTTTTAACCTTTTATGAAGTTGTTAAAATTATTTATCAGTCAGATGGAAGATTGGTATGAAGGATTGAGTGTACTTTTCTCGGATGAACAAATTGTGGCATTGACCTCAATGAGATTAATTTCATTTTTTTTTTTTAACAATATGGAATGTACCCAAAAAATAAAAGCTTTTAGGGAATTTGAAATGTTTTCAAGAAATTACTTGCTCAAAACATTATTCTAAAATTAGTGTTCCTGAAATCACAAGCTAACTCCCCACTTTTATTATTATTACATAGATCAAATGTCAGATTATGAAATGCACAGTTTGTTATTTCTTGTAAGGTTGTTAGGGAAACATTAAGCACTTCCCTCGTTGGCTTTGGTTAGGTGCTATTTTTTGACCCATGTCATTTATCAAACCATGAATGAATTCAGTCAGAGGAAATAACAGCAAAATACACACTTATTATAAGCTATATTATTATCTGCGCTGACTTGGAAGAAAATGTGTTTTGTTTCAATATGTAATCAAAATCCAGTTCAATGCTTTAAGTATGGACACGTCTTATGGATTATGCAAATATTTTTAGGATTGCTTTAGTGTTTTATCAACTTCAGGTCACTGTAACCTATAGTTTCCTTGTTAAGGTTATATTTCACACATATTTTCTAGACATTTAAATTTTGTCAAAGCAGTATTCATCCATTGTTGGTTGATTATAAAGACATGTGTTAATACAGATCTGTATAGGCTATGGTTATTTTATCATCAATCATGAAGGTTTTCAAACAGTTACACTACCCATTTGCGTATCTACCCTAGCCTGATATCAAATTTACAAGTCAATAATTCACAACAAGGGAATTGAGGAGTACTTCTGAGGTGTTATCAGATCCCAATTTAGGTTCTACTCCATCAATTTGTCTGTCCCCTCATTCAGTATTTGACAGTTGATGCATCTCTATTATTTCAGTTTCACTGTAGAGATGAGGTTAGTCAGAATTATTAATGATTTTCATGAAAAAATATGATTTATTTGACAAATTTATTCATATTATGGACTTTGTGACAGATTGACATTTTGGTGAGTTTATACAGATCCACAGTGTCCTGGTGTTTCTAAAGGTTGCAGGATATTGGTTTATGTTACCTGTCTAAATTCCATTGTCATTTCCAATACAAAGACATTCTGCAAATATCAGATTGGCAGTAAATGCTATTTATATATAGTCTGATATAACTTGCTTGCATAAACAATAGCTAGTTATCACTAAGGCTGGTCAATGCTGCAACTGTAAACCAATATAACCTGTCGATTATTTTAACCATTTGTGAACTCCCTTGGAAAATCAAGGCAGTCTCCTTTTGGCAATTTATAATTGAGTGTGTGTTGATAAAATATCAATCAGCACCAATTCAGTAACTTTTTTGAAGAAAATCAATTCTTACTCTCCTTTTAGTTTTGAAACTAGATTGATACGGACAATTTTCGCTTTCAGAGATTTTGTTTCTTCTAAAATTGGAAATTTCAAAAGCCATTTAAAGAATGAATTTCTTTCAAAAATATGAAAAAAAAATTCATTTAAAATTTGGTCTTTTAATAACACCCAGTATTAATGTTGGCATGGATTGAACTAAGGTCAGTGGCTACAATCTTTCGTTCAAAGTGACATTTGATAAAAAAAGAATATAGGATCTTAAATGAAGTTTCATTTCTTGAGATTTTATCAATAAAACAAGTCTTAGGAGTTTTTAATTTTGCAAGCCATAGCTGGTTTTAAAGTAAAAAAAAACTTAAGGCAGCCATTTTGTTGAGCTATTTATAATTCATGACATAATGTCATTGGTCCATATTATGACATCATGATTGATCTCTGACTGGCACAGCCAATGAAAAATGTTCCAGGGTATATTACACTAGTGACATGCATACAAAAATATTACATGAGCAATTCACTGGACAATGAACGAAGCATGTGATAAAAATATATCTGATGAAATTGTGTGGCTATTGCATAAAGTTTTGTTTGAATGCTTTGAATTTGAATTATCCTACAAATGTATATACTTAATTTAATAGCTAGATGCTGTCACAGCCTTGACTGATACTGACTGATCCAGAGGATGCCCCTAGTATTGATCCATCATTTCACAGAATACTGATGTAATTTCAACTGCTAATAATCAACAATCAAAAAACATGTTGATGAATATCTCAAAGCCCTATAAACGCTTTCTGTGTCCTGAATCTGTAGATACTGCTACCAGACAACCATACATCCCTATTATAGACATAGGTTCTATTGTTCCTTTTACACAGCTTACACTACACAGGCAGCCAGTCTGGAATTGTACTTGGACAATAAATTTAGCCTTTACAATACTGATAATGACAGGGCAAAAGGCTTTGGAGATAAAACAGTAGCCAATCTTTCATTTAATAAGTTCAAAAAATCTGTAATTCATGCAATAAATCATACAAGTTAAACTGTTTATGACTACTGCTTGACCACTCAACACTGTGACCATTTTGAACTTGAATATTTTTGACTAGAAAATGTTCAGTTTTGTATAATTTATGCTGTAATTTTAGAATAATCAAAGTTGAGTTGCTTAACTTTATATACCGTGACATCACCCAATTTTTGACGTCAAAATATATTGTCCATGATACTATGTACTTATTGTTGAGGTTCTGAAGATGAATACTGAAAGTGCTAATGCTTAACGAAGACTTTGTCGTTTGTGCACTTTATTTAAATATTTTAAACGGGACATTGTGAAAATTGCCTTTTATTTGTATTGGTGGGCTTGTTACCAGGCATGGGCTAATTGACAATTAATTTTGGGTAATTTGTTACCATTGAAGCCTATATGATTAAGACTTGTAACTTTGGTTTTATGTAAAGTCACACAGATCAGGAGGTTTATTAGCAAATCACATCAACACATTTTTTATAATACAGATTACCTACGAAAGAGAGAAGCTGTCTTGATACTTCAAACAAACTTCAAGTGTTTCCGCTACAGAATAGCTTTCCAGAGGAAGAGGCGGGCTATCATTTGTATACAGGTAAGAATGTCATAGCTATGTCCCCATGACCGTTTTCTGACCCTGACATTAAATTGACCTGTATAAAATGTGAGATGCCTTAATTGACTCTAATTCTTTGACCTAATATACAGGATGCTAAAATTATCACATTAACATTAAACATCAACTTCCATCTTTAGAATGTTAGAATTTCATCAGATGATTGAATGTTTCTGTTAAAGTTAATTTCCTTTTATTCAAATTGATAAGAAAGCAGATACAAAATGTATTATTGACGAAAATTGAATTTTGGTTCCATTGAATGTGAAAGAGATATGTATAACGTTGTTTGATCCTTCATCTTTTATTGAGTTTTAAACCAATTTCATAAAATGAAATACAAAGAAATCAAATTAGGCTTTACATATCATCATATGACTGTGTGATGTATGATCTTTCTTCCCTCCTTTTAAAAATCAATAAATAAAAAACATCAAATGTGGCTTGTGCTACATATCTTGTTGTCAAGAAGCATTTCAGTCGGAGACTCATGAGGATGATCCAATGGACAAACATACTTGTCTATTTATTTAATGATATTTTTTATTGGGCTATGGTGATCACTTTGAGAAATTTTAACTAAATTTCATTCAAGAATTTTCCTGTGAAAAGGGTTTTTTATGACATGAATGAACTTTAAAGGAATGTGGAGATAGAGGTTTAATTTGTAATAACTTTTCCAGGTAATAACTAAGTAACAAAGCTGAAAAGAACGATAATGAAAATCATTATAAGTGGTCTTTTCTCATTACAATGAAAAGGATTTTAACTCACAGATTGATTTGCTAGTTTATAACCTAGGTTGCTGAAAGTGTAACCATTATGTTATTGATAATCTGTGGACAGCTTTATTGATAGCCAAGAGTATTAGGAGAACGTGTTATATGGTCTAAAGATCTAAAAGTTATATTATCTTACGTGACTTTACGTAAACTTTCTAATTAACTTGTGGGCCAAGAATGGCAGATCTATTCAATTTATACTGTCGGATATGATCACCATATTTGTATTGGATGGCATTCATGTCATTGGCCATTTCTATGGCAACCCTGGACAGGGTCAGGCTGTTGTTAGTCTGTGGTTTTAGTTTGGCTTCAGTTATATACATATATATGGGGTGATGTCTTCATTAGGTTTTGCAGGAGAGGTATGGTATAGCCAGTATCCAGGGTTTTTGTAGGTCAAACTCCAGTTATTTTGAGGAATATTCAAATACTGTTCTATTTCTCTAAAATGTTTATTGACTCTAAGTAAATCATCATCATTGATGTAATTATTTGGAAAAAGCAACAGGAATTCCTTTGAAAGTTTTTTATCCAGTGTTTTTTAGTTGAATTGTACAATTCTACACATGTAAAGTGAAAGTGTGTTATTGAATTGCATTTGTTTGAGGGGAAAACATTTAATTTAGAATAAGGATTTAGAAAGATAGCAATATATATTGTACTTTGTGTAAAGGCTATTGTTTTGTTGTTGAGATAAATCATTGTTTGGTGTCGTATGTGTGATAAGCATGTTGACCGAGGTTTGTGTTCTTCTGTTTCTGTTTGAAGTAAACTGGGAGTAATGTGTTGATAGTGGTAATACATATCTGTACAGACATGATACACTTTACCAGGAAAACCATTCTGGAATGGTGGAGTTTTTTTTCGTTTTGCAGTCTCAATGATAAAATGCATTATGGATGACTTTGACAATGTTATATATATCTCTAGAGGCTTCAAACTTAACTTGTAGAACTCTTACAAAGCCAAGCTCAATTTCACAGCCAAATTACTGTATCCTGCAGAGGGAGGATTCTCAGAGCTATTGATTTTTCGTTCTGTCATTCCCTTAACAACATAATATGAATTTGCGTCCCCACATTCCGGGAATACATTGCAGTATGTTAGAATTGGTATTCCATGATAGAAATTGAATCGACTGTTTACTACAGCAACTGAATAAGTTTAGTTTCTTCGCGACCTCAATCAACATTTGCTTTTCTTTCTCTAGTTGATGGCATCATTCATTTTCTGAATGGATTAAACACTGATGAGACAAAATTTTCTATTTGTGGAAGGTTGCTACTTCCATCGTTCTATCTGTTACTTTTGCCCTTATATAGGCACAAATAGGAGCAGAAATGCACCTAGAGTACTTATAAGTTTCAGTAATATAAGAATTCATATATGATTTCCTACAGAAAAAAACATTGACATTGCTTCAACTTCAAAACTATCACAAAACATAACAGTTCCTTCAATAAAAGCGACTTGAAGCAAACAGTCATAATGATAAGCCTGCAGGTTTGTGTTGAAAAGCTAAAAAAAAAGAAATGGCAAATTAATTTTTATAAATTTCAAACAGGTTCTACAAACATGTCAAGCATAGACAGGATATTAACTTAAATATAAAAACAAGTAAAGACTTGGTACCTTAAACCACAGGTTTCAAAACTGTGATCAGTTGATACTAATGGGTGTCAAAATGTATACACAAACAGGACAAAGGACAATGGAGTAATATTGCAATTTGATATAAGTAGTTATAGTGTAAAAGTATGGCAGATTTGTGGAGTATATTGTGTGGTTTGGTTCTTTATGTGCTACTCTGTATTATCAATAGTGAGACTTGGTTATATAAAGGATACACATCAATATCCTCTACTCTAATGGAAGCTTACTGAAGAGCAATTTGATTACAGAACTTTTACCATACAGTATTACTGCATCAGATAAATTACAGTTAAAGAACCAAATCTTTTATTTGAAGGTAATTTAAATAAACTGGAATAACATCACATTTTCTTTTAATCCAATTTCAAATTCCAAAAAATCAGATTAGGGCTTTAAATGAATTTAAGGACACTGTAATTTGATTTTCTGATGAAGCATCAAGAATAAAAAAAAAAAAATCCACCAAGATGCTGATGTACAAGAATGGTATTGATTGTAGGGATATTCCTGGTGTGATCATTACAGCCTATCACCTCGTTGATTCCAGAAGCTTATTTATGTAAATTGATGTATGGGAAGGTTGACATATTAGCACTACAACTAAGATTAGCCATTTAAACTCGCATGCAGGGAAAACAGATGTAAAGTAAAATTTATGTTCACTGGGTACATTAAAAAAGAGTATTGTTGTCTTGCAGCAAAAGGCTTAATGCTCCTGTACAGATATGTGAAAGTCAGAATTAAGAATATCAGAAGTCAGGAAGATGATGTCATACCTTGAAAGTACTAACAACCCCATAATCCTTTTGTTATGTAAGCTCTGTCTTTTCATTGCTCTTACTTTTTAAGAAATATGTTCGAGGAATGTTCGCCCGAAAGCTTGCAAAAGACTTGAAGGAAAAGAAACGAATTGAAGAAGAGCGGAAACGACAGAAGCGACTTGAAGAGGAGAGATTGGCTCGTGAAAAAGAGGAAGCAGACAAAGAAGCCATTGAACAATCACTCAAGTAAGTGTTCCCTTATTCTTAAAGTATTTTTTTTAATTGATTAATATATTTTTCTGTTGTTAGACTAGCTTACAGAATTCTCCCAATGTGACCTTTATACATTACATATAGAACTCCTTACAATCCCAGAAATCATTTCAGTCGTTGCTGTATGGCATTTCAATATGAATGAATATTTCACATATAGCTGTCAAGGGAAAACTTTTATTGTTAGGTTTCCAAATCTAAAAACGAAAGGTTTGGCCAAGAGTAACTCTTTGTAATGGAACAAGTCTGTCTAACAAACTGAAAGGTCCCTTATCCAGACATTGATTTCTGATTAAACATTAACCCAAATAGCAACAAGCTTCAACACTGGTGGTAAATGTGTTCTCTATTTACTGACAAAGCATTGGTAGAGTTAAACGACAATTTTTTAGAGCAATGTTATATGTGAAATGCTTATTCCCGGGGTCATTGAAAGCAACCTTCTGTTTGCTGACTCCAAGCACAGCAGCAATGCATGGCAGAATACCATTAGCACCTTTGATGATTTACCCTTACTGTTGTCAAAGATGTCACCAGTTCATTGTGATTGTGAATGTGTTAAGTCAACCCGAATGATATTTCGAGCTTGATTGCATTGCATAGTAAATGCCAATGTCTTATCTGAATCTTCCAGCACCTTGAGTCGTCCAGAGCTAATCAGGAGACTGAAGTAGGTTTTCTTGGTGTCGTACATATGTATTGTGTGTATCCATTTTTTATTAGTGTGTCAACAGCTTTAGTTACATCTCCACTGTCAGTGTTCTGTCACCATATTTTTCAAGGCAGACCTTCATTGTAAAACCTATATTTAACTTTGAATAAAAAAACTAAATACTAAACAGTATTTCATTCAACACATTTAGCTGTCTATTTTTGTGGAAGTTTAAAATTGCTGCCCTACAAACATGGACATTTACTGACTGTCCAATTATGTTGGTTTCAAAGACACTAATTGTGTATGGTTAGGTTCAACCTTTTCACAATTTCATTTTCTCTATCAAGAAAAAGCTTAACACATTGTTGCTTGGCACTAGTGTTTCATGTTGTTTATCAGATCCACAATGTCTTCAAACTCTCTTGTGAAGTATTGTAATTATTGTTTAAGGGAGGTTCAAGGTAAGTGATGTTGTGTTATTGTTGTATAATCTTCCTGCTTCTTATTTGGCAGCCAGAATTTGATGGGAAATTATTTTGGTTTTTGCAAGTTATCTTGCACTGATATTATTGAATTTTATTGAAATTTGATGATCAATATAAAAAACTAAAAGAATACATATGAAAATCAGCAAAAATTCACATGTAACCAGTTAGTCAGATTAGTCAGTGGTTTCCTAAGAGCATTTTAATATTAGTTGTTTTCTCATTGTAGACTAAATAGCTGAAACTAGCACAACCACTACCATCCTATCTTCCCATACAGGAATGTCTCATCAATATTTTTTTTCTATAATTGATTCCAAGTTTGATGAATTAAGTTTGATTTGTGTAGAATGACTATCATCATTACAGTATTGATTCTCATACTGCACTTAATTATACATGTGGCAAGTCTTCTGTAATATTGTTAATCTCGTATAAAATTGTGCTGACAATATCAGAACTGGTGACCTTGCTCGATCAGTTTATATCCTGATGATAATCGGTAGGCTATCACATCCATCTAAGCTAGTGACTGAGTGTGATTAGTGTGATCCTATAGAGATAATGTATATGAGATAGAAGAGTCGTTACTTTTTTTATTTGGATCCTGATAAGATGTTAGAGCCTACATGTGCCAGTCTGTAGTTTACTTGGATATGTGTAAGTCGTTGTTAAGTCGGACAGGTCACTATGATGGTTTCCACTAGATTCTATAAATAAATCATGTCTTCCTTACCCTAAAGGTGTCACCATTTTCTGCTCAATGTTGAAAAAAATTGATTTTTTGATAAGTAATGTGTTTGGCTTTCTTCTCTAACCTGATTGTGTAATATCAACAAAAGGCTTGATAATACAGAGATCAATTTCTACATTATTCTAAAGGAACAAGTTTATCAAATACCAGTACTTGACAGAGAAAGGTCATTGGCCGTTGATTCTAACACTTGCAGAAAGACTTTGTTACAAAGGAAGGTTAGATTAAAAAGTTCCTAGAACAAGGTATATAAATATATCTACATCAGACCATACATCTTTCTTCATTTTTTTTTTTATTACAATCCCCATTTCATGTAGATTTTCTGCACCTTAATAACAGAAGTCCCCAGCTTATTTGTCAAACCATGCCTTTGTGGCATTGGGTTCCAAACAAATGAGATTTCAGATTTCTAGAAAAAAATAATTGCTTGGCACCAGATCAGGACTGTAGGGAAGATTGATTAGTTGTTTGAACTTACATTCAGAATTAGCAGCTCAGGCAATCAGTGACTTGTGCAAAGGAGCATTGTCTTCTTTTGTGAAGAACTTTATAATTGTTTTAAACTCACTATTTTGATTTTACATCAGCATTTGATGGTTGCTAACTTATTTATCTGAAGACCATGCAGATATGTTGTGACAAATAGTCATGATGTGTTTGAACTAATGAGATGAAATGTTGTCTAAATAATCATGTAAACAGATTTATCGTTACTTTTGGCTGAAACCCTATCTCTATAAATCACATCGTTGTGTTTTTATGCTCACAACCAGGAAAAGGTTAGGGGCATGTAGTGTTACCTTTTTCCAGCACTGTCCTAATTTTCACTCATTTAATGTAGAAAAGATACAGGTATAGAACTGTCCTTCATACGTTTTTGTTTATTAATACATGTGTTGTGAAATTTCTGATTTGGTTATGGTCACCAAATTCTTTTAAGAATTGTGACTAGTTAACCTTTCAGGCTTTTAATAAAAATTAAGAAAGCAAAAAAATAAAATTGGAAAGCCATATCTTAACATCAGTGGAAATTTTAAATTACATCTTTTAACAAAACCAATAATACTTAAAAATGCCAGACTTCTACTTGGTTGCTGGCGGGGCATTTGTGTCGCTCACATCTAGTTCATCTCATGATGACTAAGTCATAAGAAAAAGGTAGCAGTAGATGATTGGGCCATTGTAAACCATGAGTTCATTGAAATGTCATTATTCAGATATCTCAGCTGGCAAGATCTGTTGTAAGACATTAACAAAATGCTACTTAGAATCTAAGATTTAAATTAATTGGCAGTGTTTAATAATCTAGATAATTTTGTTTATCATTTAGTTATTATGAACAAGTTATCAATGTTCAAATACTTTTGAAAGGTGATGATGGCTTATGTAAGTTTTTGACACAGAAGAATGATTCAGTTTCTCTTTTGCTTTTCCTACCTATATCATTTCAGCCATTGCATTGGTTACTGTGTATTGTAATATTCAATTTTATTCCACAATTTTTTACAACTCATTGGATACATAAGATTTTTACAAATGGCATATAACATAACATACATTCAATGGTCATGCTTATTTCATCATCAACTTGTTGAAAACATACAATTTCACCAATGACATTACATAATATGTATTCAGGAATAGTCATGCATATATCATCATATTCAATTAATGTATACATCAACAACAAATACACTTTAGTTATTGTAATGAAAAGTGTGGTCAGATCTCATTTTACCTTTGTGTTGAAAAAACACTTCACTTACTCATCCATTTTTGAAATGTGTTGACTCAAAATCAATACTGATAATCAAAAGATGATATTTCAGTGAAAAATAAATTGAAATAGGATGCTCATTGATAGAGGTTGTTTTTTACTCAGTGAAATATTGAAGTTGTACTGGCAGGGCATCTAATTGTTTTCTCCCTAGAGAAGTTGCTCAGCCTGTTAGTGGTCTTGGTCATGTTGTATTAACTTAGACAAGTGTTCCTTGGAGAGAAGTTGTACTCTATTGAAAGCACTGGAACTGCTCTAAAGAAGACATCATTGTCAGCAAACACTTCTAAATGGAGTGTATTCAGAATATTTATAAATTTTATGTCTACTGACACATATTGTCAAAATAGTAATTATTTCATTTCTAATTGCAAGTAATTTTGATAGAAATATAGGATAGATATGTTGAGGAAATAAGAATTCCATATACCATAATCCCCATAATTAGCATCCATCTCCCTATTAGTGCCCAACCCCCCCTTACTGCTGAGGTATTGAAATTCTTTAAGCACCCTTTCTAATCGTGACACAACTTCAAATAATTCTATTATTTAAATTTCAATCCAGACATGCTGTTGGCAGGAGATATCTAGAATGCATGATCTTTTTGTCTGATAGTGGCAGCAGAGACTTCTGCTTCACTGAATATAAGTACATTACATCGCTACCCATAATTCCTCTGTGTCATCTCTTAAAATATTGCTGATTTTTAAGGGGATTTCTGCTGTAAATATTCATGGGCAATATCGTCACCCATTTTATCAGTTGTGCTAGGTCATAAGTAAGTGACATAGTAATTTGACTTTTCGTCTAGAACTCACATTTTGTTTTACTAAGAAATGCCCCATTTGTAACCAAATTTTTAGGTGCCCTGGGTATTTATTACGGTAAATATGGTGTATAGACTTTAGGGTATTCTTTGTTCTTTTAGTGGACATTTTTCTTCATGTTTGTGTCAGTACCCTTTAGCATCTGGTACAACTCCATGTGTGATGAGAGAAACCATTACAAAAATCAATTATGTTTGCTGAACCAGCGATGCGTAAGATTACTTATTGGTATTAGAGGATGAAGCAGGGTTGATTACCTACAAATATTGATATTTAACGGATATCTATATTATCTCTGTGTGTATTTTTGGACCATACAAATTCAAATGTGGTATTCACATAAGATATTTTTCCACCCTTTAGGTTCAAGAAAACATTTAAATATATGACATGATTATCAGTGGCTGTATAATGACTAGTGGAAGCCCTATACAGACTTGTCAGGACCTTAGACCTAAGTTTGTATGAT